TGATAAACCATTTGAAGATTCCGGTATTGAGTGGAGTGGAGCTGAAAATTTGGCCAAAGAATTCGCAGAAGACATCTCTGAACCAGAAATTGAACCTGCTGTTTCCTGAAGAACCGCAAGTACTACAGACAACTTTGCAGTGGGTAGAGAATCCATCTAATCTTCGAAGGATCCAGTTGACTAGCAACCAAAATTGAACGTGGCCGTAACCCTGAAGGTAGACCGATCGATAGACTACTTTTATCTTCTAGCTACTAACGATTTCTTCGAGTTGCTGCTTAGTTAAACGAACTCTTATGCAGAGCATAACGGTCCAAATTAAAGGCCTCATTCAAGGATAAATCGCTGTAAATCTGTTGATAGGTGAGAAATGTTAGTGTTTTTGGGCATCACGCTTTTCATGGAATTCATCAATTACCCATAATTCGGGGCTATTGTAGAACTGACCGGTTATACAATCTTCCATATAAGTTTATGGCAAGTAATAGATTCATGGACTATAAAAAATATACCAGGATCCAGATATTATAACATTCATTAAAATAAGACGGCTGCATTGGATAGAACATATAGAAAGAATGGAAGAAGGCGAAATACCAAACAAAATATTCAAACAGATGCCAGTAAGAAAACGAACAAAAGGTAGACCGAAGCTAAGATACTTAGAACAAATTGAAAATGATATAACAACCTTAAAAATAAAAAACTGGACTAAAAACGCACGAAACAGATCAGAATGGAGAAGAATCCTGGAACAGGCCAAGACCCAAAAAGGGTTGTCGAGCCAGTGATGATGATGAAGATGATGATGAATAGATTCATGATCATCTACATAATTACTCGGCACCAAAGATGTTATTTCTTGATTTTCGACAATCAATCGTAGACGCTTTGTTGCCGGATGACGACATTAATCGACGGGAAACGAACCATGCTAATGGAGAAGAAGATCCAGAGCTACACCTCCCGTTAAAGTGTGAACTAAAATGGAAGGAAACTGCGAAAATCACGTTATTGGTGATTGAAGAAGGGAATTCCCAAATATGCCAACGTATTACTGCAGAAAGTGTCCAGACTCACCAGCGTTAACTTTGGAGTCTTGTTTTGGCGCGTACCACAGTAGTCTACAGTGATGATAATGATCTCTATTTTCCCTTCGTTTTTTTAGTTTAGGTTTTAACATCGGACATCACTTGTAAGTTTTTTTAAAGTATAATAAGTGTCATTTTTACATATAATAAACATAGTTAGGATGATTTTGTTGATATTTCAATCCTGACAACAGAGGTTCATCAGTGATCACTGGTGTCTAGAAATCATATGGTCACAAAAAATTGGCATATTATCATTTCTCAGCATAAGAAGAGGCAGTATTGAGTTTTTAAGTACCAGCCATTGCCATTTTTTTAAGATGGACAGCGAACATGTTAGGCAAGTGTTCTGGGAAAAAGTTAAGTCAAGTACTTTCCCGTTACTTTCTTCTTTCTCCTCTTCTTGCATGTAAACTTTAAAACCTGTTTCTTCTTCAATATTAACCTCCTACGTTGTTTAAATTATTGCACCATCTTTTTCTTGGTATGGTAATACTTCTTCGTCCATTTGGTGATTTATCTCGTGCTATTCGTACTATCCTATCCTCTGCCATTCTACTAATGTGTTCGTTTCACTCCTGTTTCCGTTTTGTCACCCGTCCATTTATGTCTTCTATATTACATGCTCTTATGTTTTCGCTTCTCTCCATATGCAACCGTTGCTTTTTTAACTGCAAAATCATAGCTGGCTAAATCAATATGTATCTGTCGCATGTGATTATCTGGATCAAACCTTCAGAGAAGTATTCTTCAGTAGCTTTGGTGCAATAATTACATAACTACTGCCAAGTGATGTCCTCATTAGTCTGCAGAGGTTATTGGGAAAAAACTTATTCACACCTGTCCTACATATCTATAAGACGTGTCCCGTGTTGGGATTTACCAAATGGCGAATTCTACTCTCCTACAGTCGTTTTCCTCATCGTACATTGTCTGTAATTTTTCCGTTTTTAAGGATTAAACACATGGATTACCGAACGTTTGATACGTCACTGTAAATACCGATTTATCTTCATTTTATTCCCACATCGAAATACTCTTAAAGTAACTTTTTATAGATAGTTAAAATAGTAAAATGACTATATTTCGAATTGTTAAAACGTTTGAAATACTCGAAAAAAATTCATTTGAACTTACAAAACTGGTTTCTATTGAATATGCATGGCATTTACTGTTTGGCAATTGGCCATAAATTTTGTCAATATTTATTAGAAACGTTCTATGGAGGTAATAAGGAAGTCCAGGGCCTTCCAATTAAATGTTAAAAACGAAATAATAATATCTACACCTTTTAGAACACTGCTGGCCATCGGCAAAACCTCTCATTAAACTCATTTCGACTGACATACATTTAAAATTAATTGCATTTGGATTTGTTTTAACATTAAAGTTATTAAGGCCTACATTTATATTTAAATTATATGATAATTCTTTTTCGTACAAGTAATATAATATATGCGTATAATGGATATGAAATATAAAACTTTGTTACATAATATTTGAGTTAAAAATTCGATAGAAAAAGAGGTACCAACAATCAAAAAAAGGGGATTTCAAGCTGAGAAGATTTGCCCAACTTCAAAACGGAGTTGCTTTTATTGAAACCAAAGAAATAGAGAGAGAGAGAGAGAGAGAGAGAGAGAGAGAGAGAGAGAGAGAGAGAGAGAGAGAGAATTTAAACTGAATTTGTATACTAAATGAAAGTGTATTTTCAAAATAAAAACATTATTGCCAACATAGAAAAAGAATGTTTCACACCGAGTTTATTTATCAACGTCACAAATAAAGTCATTGTCTTCTTCTTCACACCCAGCACAAGCTTCATGTGCGCATCGTAAACATCCCGAACACTTTATCCATCCTTCATTTTCCCTTGACTTGGAATATAAGTCCCCGTAGAAAAAGCAACGAGTATCTCTCACGTCACTGTTCGTATCATTAAATAAAGCATGCTTCGCTGATTTTGATTTCGTTTTCTGCTTTCGTTTAAATTTTTCTTTGCTTCCTTCATTCTGCTTGTTACTCTGCTTTCCTTTTTTCATTTCCAGCTTTATTTTTTTAAGCCTTTCCTTTTCTTCTTTTTCTGCTTTTGCGGCTACTAGTTCTATCTTGAAAACGTCGAGGAATATCTGCCAAATCTTTTCCAGTCCAGTTTCATCAACATTTTAAGCCCTTCTTCTTCTTATGGTGCCCTATCCAATTAGTGGATGTTGGCGACGATTCTGACATAGTCCTCTCGAACTTGTGTGGCTCTAAAGAGTGCATAGGCATCGAGGTTTGTCCAATCCCTTATATTTTTAAGCCATGAGTATTTCTTTCGTCCGATGCCCCGTTTTCCTTTTATCTTACCTTCCATAATTAGCTTTAAGAACTGGTACTTGGAATTTCGAAATATATGACCCAGATAAGCAGTTTTTCTTCTTTTTCTCGTTCTCTGCCCATTCGATTTAATACTTCGACATTTGTTGTGTCCAGGGAATTTTAAGTAGGCTTCTAAATACCCACATTTCAAAAATCGTTTCATGACATTGGCCTTGCTCAATCCTGCTACGTATCTCTATGTCTGGATGTAAATCTTCAGTTATCCAACTACCGAATCTGAATTTGGCGACCTTTTGGATGTTCTTATTCTTATTATTACTTATTCTGTAAACCCTATGAGGAGGATACAAGTAATGTTTTTGAACATCCTCCAAAATGTCAAAAAACTTGTGTTACATTCGTTTTGTTAAATGCTTGCGCCCTTGCTGCTGAAGTCGCGCGCCCTTGCTGCTGAAGTCGCCTCAGGTTTTCTTAACACAAGCTCAGGATGGCGCTTTCTGAACCCAGTTACTCAATCTTTTCCTGCTAATTTCGTTTCTTTATTGAAACCATGGGTAATGTTATTTCGTTCAGTTAGTTGGTAAGCAAGGCTGGGCAAATCAGCTACAGTAATTCTAAAAAAACGTACCTCCATCTTCAAGAGATAATTTACCAACTGCTGTTCTTGTTCTTCATTGAAAACAGCTCGAAAATGGCCTAATACTTGTTTATTGTCAGTGGCGTCTTGATTTCTATTTAGTACGCGACGTTTTAGTGTGTTCCGTCTTTCTTCACGGCATCAATAATTGTTCTTAGCATCACTGATATTTTGACACCCACACTTCACCTGAAAGAAAACGTTCTATCATGTAAATACATAGTACAGTAAGTGATCTTGGAATGTAATTACTAGTCTACATTACTTGCTAAAATAACCAGGTGAAAACCCATAAACCAGACTTTAACCCGTAAGAATTCCACAGTCGTGGCTACAATGAATCAGAGCTTCTATGCCTCTACCAATCCATTAATTACGAAAATGGTTATTCATCAAATTACGGCACTCTCTATCAAAGTGCGGTGAAGCTCCATCGTACATAAAAAATAAAGGTCCTCGTTCGTTTAGCGTTATATTTTCTAGTATCTTGAATAAGTCATTGAATTATTAAAAATGGAGGACCTGATCTGCGGAGAAGAATTCGTTATATAGATCTGATAGCTCTAATATGGACACAAGAACAATTACCGGACAAGTGTGCAATTGGCAGTAATACAGTGCAATATATAAGAAAGGAAATACGAATTAATAAACTTATTTGAAACGAATGTACTAGTGATACAGAGAGAGAGTGATCTTCGGCAAAGCCAAATAACTGGATCACCAGGTATAGCTTTATAATCAGGTTTATAAACACCAAATCAGTACAAATTACTTTACATGCCGATGATGTTGCTGTGATTAGCAAGAACAAGCAACGAGTTCAGAAAATCAGTATCAAAGTAAAAAAATATGCATTTTGAACATACTGACGCCTTCATGTAGTTGCATACAGAAATAAATCAAGAATCTCTAGTGAAATCCATATATACTATACCAATAAAAGATAGATGGCATCCAAATTATTAGATAGAAAAACCAAGATCATTCAAAGAGCCGTAACGGGTGTTAGACATGGGTTATTACAAGAAAAGGTGAAGAATATCTCAGGGTATTTTGAGAGAAACGTATATGACGATAGTATATAGAGAATAAGAAAAAATAATGAGAATAAGAAAAACAATCTACGACTACATGGTTGGACGATGTGGAGGATGACTTCGGACGATGAATCTAAGAGAATGGAAAAGTCTTAAAAGAGATTTGAATAGAAGTAATAGAAAGGCAAAGGCCCACTTATATTAAAAAATTATAAAGTCAAATGAAGAAAAAGAGTTAACGCATTAAAATTTATTCTGGAGCAGCTATGCCATCAGACATTGTGTGTGACTATGACATCACAAATTAACAAAGAACAAAAATTAACAGTAATTTTAAAACTATTCAATAACAAAAAAAAACAAAGAGTGTAATCAGTAGTTAACTACAAAAATAATTGCAGGGAATAAATAAAAAGAATCTGACAAAATATGCTTGAACACTATCACTAATTATCTAAAGAAAAGAAGATAGTGATAGATGTAGCAAGGACACATACATCCAAGTTAATAAACAGAAACAATATGGGCAACCATCTAACAATTCTAACTTCCTTTTAAATTCTTTCCATTGAAGATTATCACACAAAGAAGGTGCCACAACTGTACCAAGCGGTAACAATAAGTAAGAACAAAACTTACCATCTATCAAAACTTTTTTCTGTGACTCTACAAGTTCTGCTGCAGTCTTCCGTTTTCTTATACAATATGCCTTGATGGCTAGATATACTTTTTCTCCACTCTCCTGTTGTCTTGTCACTACAAGGGCCATAAAGCTTCTTTATAAAATGTTCCGTTCTTACGACTAATTATTTTGTTGTTGCACGCTGCTTTAGAGTCCGTATTTCGCTTCCATACATTATTACGTGGCCGATTCCGTTTTTATATACTTTTATCTCCGCTAATTTTGAGAGTAATCTTGGTTTAAGCAACGTTGGTAGAAACTAATACCCACTATCCCCCGAAGTTATTCTATTCTACTCCATATCTTTTTCATAACTGTTTTCGACTGTTATAATGGCTTCTAGATGTTTGAATTTCTAAACGACTCCGAAATATCTACATTTTCTCTAATTCATGCTCTTGAATTCTTCGTAGTCATCATGTACTTTGGTCTTATGTTCGTTAATCTATCCTTGGCACTTTCAAAGAGACACACTCCCTTTGTATCTGCAATGGATGGTTTAATTGTGTCAAAATCATCAGCAAAAGCCAACGATAAGGCAAAGATAGGGAAAGATGAGATCTTCTTATCTTAGACCAGTTTTTACTTGAAATTCGTCTAGTGTGATGTTGTGGTTATGTACATACATATGTGCCAATCCTAGCAGCTTCCAGGAGACTCCCATTTCTACCAATTAGATTTCACGGTGTATCCCAGTGTAGTTTGGATTATAGAAGCATACGCTTGTTTGAAATGAACAAATATTTTAGTAGTTCTGCATGGATGCCATCTAAACCCGGGGTTCAGATGGCATCCATTCAGATTAATATTTCAATGTCCTCTGTCAGTAATTGTTTTGTAGCATCTGTTAGAAATCCTGGACTGTTTAGCTTTTTGCTCTTTAGTGTTTTTAATTCCCCAACCTGTCTATACCGCCGTATTCTATAGATATTCCCTATGTAATAATTTTCCAAAATAAGTTTTGTTTTTCAAGTCTGTGTAAAATCTGTTTTACTAAATATCCGAATTAAATTTTTAATTATATGGAAAGCCCAATCTCAAACCAGCACTTAAAAAGGCCATAAGGACTTAAATGAGAACAAGAAAAATATTTATAAATGTTACGCTCACTCATTTTAGAACAAAAATGTTAAAAAAACATTGAACATTTAATCGGGTAATTTATTTAGTAGACTTATTTAGTCCACCAGGAGTAAAGAAGACATTAAGGAATGAAAAATCTAGACTAAAAATGAAAACAATTAAACTTAGAGAAAGAATTTTAATAGCCCCTACCATATTTATTTCCGTAAACTCTCAAAAACATGTTCATGTGTCAGTTTATTTTATTACTCCACATAAATACACTCACTCTATTTTTATACCCGGCATTTTCGTAAAAAATAACATGGCGCTGTGAAGTATCCAGGGAATATGTTTTCACGATACAATAAAAAATCATTTGTAATTACCGCTTGCGTTGCGTAAGATTACGTCTTACAGCTTACGGATTAACATTACACTCGGAATACACGTGTGCGTGTTCCACAATCGCAGCGGGCGAGCGTTTTCATGAATGAAATTTGAATATTAAACACTTCAGTCTCTTATTCGACTCCGAACGGCGTTCACTGGACCTACACTGGGAATAAGGGTTCGTTCACTTGATAGAATTTATCTGATCTGATCCAAAGTAAATATGTAAATGTACGTATATATATATATATATATATATATATATATATATATATATATACTATAATTATTATTCGTTAATTTTTTTACTTTTACCGATCGTTTGCTCTCTGTCTCCAATTCTACACTCCTATACCATTTAAATCATCTTTAACAGCTTCTAACATTTTTCCGTAGCCTTCCTCTCTTCATTTTACCCCCACCTAACCATCTGACTCTTTGTACTTTGACTTTTTGTATAATTAGGCGTTTTCCATACATCTCCATTTCCTCTTTATCTGTTCTTCTTCGCCAGTTTTACTCCGCGGTCCTAATACCACCAAAAATCTTCCACACCTTCCTTTCCCAGATGTCGATTTTCATTTCTCTTTGTTATTCGTAGTCCAGGTCTCACAGTCATACACTGCCACTGGCCGAATGACTGTTTCATATATTTGAATTTTTGCTGCCCTACATACATTTTTTGCTTTTAGAATATTATTTATTGAGCCCATTGCTCTACTTTCTTTTAATAGTCTCTTTTCTATTTCTTTTTTTTTTCTTCCCCTTTATTATTGTTACACTCAAATACTCAAACTTGCTGACATTTTCAATTTTGTAATAATTTCCTCTCGTTTTAAGTGTGACGAATTTATTGTGTTCTGTTATCTCACCACGTATTTCCATATACTTGGTTTTCACTTCATTTATTTACAACACAAATTTTCTTGCTTCATCTTCAAAATTCTTAAACCTGTTTTCAAGTTCTTTTTTATTCTTGTTAAGAGGACTACATCATTTGCGTACGCTATACATTGCTGTTTAGAGTGAAAAATGGTACCCGTAGTTTGGATCTTATTTTCTCTCATTATTGCCCCCAAGACAAGGTTAGATGGATCAGTAGAAAGTGGATCCCCTTGTCTTAATCCTCTTACCTCTTACTGTAACCGAAAACAGATACATACACATACAGACATACTCCCTTCTATGACCACTCCATTTGTACTTTTTAGCGACATTTTCAATAATTTTATCAACTTTTTTGTTATTTCTAAATTGTGTAGAGCTTTATACAACTTTTCCCCGATCGATAGAGTCATACGCCTCTTTAAAATCAATGAAGAGCAAGTGGAGTCCTAGGTTTCGTTCGTAACTACAGTAGTCTCTCTTTATAACGATTCCCTATATAACGATAATTCCTCTATAACGATGAAAATAGTAAACGTTGGTTGGTTCGTCATAAGGACAATGTATTCATTCTTTCTCTATACCGATATCGTTCTCTCTTTATAGCGATGCCTTTTCAGCATTCAATAGTCGATGGCAAATGTGTCATTGTGCTTAAAGTTCAGACTACCTGCGTCATGAGTGGCAAGGTCAATGTCCAGCGGTTGTTTTGTTTTGCGATTAAGGAATGCGGCCACTCATTCTAGCATTCTACTCATTCTCATCAGAGGATTAAGTGGCTCGCTTTTATTGTTTTGGGCACCGTTATCACACAGATGTTGTCATCTATTGACGACTTTTCATTTCCAGTTTGAGTTGTGTCTCAGTGTTTCAACAGTCAACATGTTTTAGAAAAAGCGTAAAGTGCTCTCGGTGGAGAAAAAGTTATCTATAACTCGAGCAATAGAGAAAGGTGAAAAGCAATCGGATGTCTTTCGTCGTACGGGGCTGTCTCAGTAAACAGTGGATATGATATGAAAGGACAGAAAAAACTGGCTTGAAGCGGAGATGGAGGGTGGTAGCAGGAACAAATTGGGGAAACCTCAGCACGAAGATTTAGATCGCGCTATGCTTCAGTGGTTCCAGCAGCAGGGTGTGAACCATATTCCACTGTCTGGGTCTGTGGTCAGGTTAAAAGCTGAGTTTTTGTACCTGAGCTTGGAATTGACCATTTCAAGGCATGTGAGAATTGGCTGAACAATTGGAAGCTGCGGTACAAGATCAACTACGGGCAAATCAGCGGAGAAGCTCGCGATGTTAACAAAAACGTAACGGATAATTGGCTAGAAAACGTGTGGCCTAGACTGAAGGCACGATATCAGTGAGACGACATTTTCAATGCTGATGAGACTGGATTGTTTTTTAAAATGACACTAAACAGAACTCTAAAATTAAATCGGAAAAATTCGTTGGTGGAAAGCTGTCTAAGGAACGTATTAGTTTTAGTGGCCGCTAACATGACAGGTTCGGTGAAGCAAAAATTATTAGTGATAGGGAAGTCGAAAAACCAACGTTGCTTTAAAAACAGAAAAATCTACCGGTGACTTATAAAGCAAACAAGGGTGCCTGGATGACTTCGGAAATGTTTGAAAAAGCGATAAGAAAGTGGGATATCGAGCTTAAAGAGAAAAACATTCTTCTGCTTGTAGACAATTATCCTACTCATCCTGTACTGTGTGACCTTCAAAACATTGAATTTTGTTTTTGCCAGCAAACACAACAAGTAGCCCATGGACCAAAGTGTCATCAAGAGTTTGAAAAATCATTACAGGAGAAGACTTTTAATGGAATTGGTTGAGAATAATGGCGATCTTAAACTAAACATTCTTGACGCCATCATAATGATTAGTAAATCCTGGGCTGAGGTGAGAAGCAATACAATAAGACATTAATTTAAACACGCAGGATGGCTGGAAGATCAAGAATTGACTGA